TTATTACTTCCCGCTCCAATACTGTGGTGTCGAACCAAGTATCCCTTGTGATCTGTGTACCTACTCATGTATTCAGTATTTCCTGCGTACTTGACAAGTAGGACAAATATGCAGGAAATACTGAATACATGGTCAAGTACGCAGGAAATACTGAATACCAACAAGTACGCAGTATTTTCTGCGTTCAAGTACACACTTGGGTTTTCAGAGCTTTCTTGTTGTCACCTTCCAACCCCCTCCCTACCCCCTCCACCCACGCAATTAAAGTAGGTGCGACAAAGACTGCTTAAAAGAACATCCTTCATTGATCAGCGCGACGAGTTGCAGCTCTTTGTTCATTTATAATGTAACGTGGATGCATCACTGTTTCACAAACCAGGACTCACGACGAGGACTTGGCTGCAGGACGAGTACCCTCCCCCCGCCCCTTCCCCACACCCCACCCTTCCCCCTCATTCACCCATTAACCCTTTTACTGTTTCAGTTGTTCCTCTTGTCCTCTCTTGGACCTGAACTCGGGTACAAGCTTACTTGGAGGCGCTCCTCAGTCCGATGTTGGACTGTCATCCGGCGTAGACGTTTTGCGCCGCTCTGTCATATTAACAGCCCTCTCCACTGTATCACAGTGGAAGGATCACACCTTCTGTATCACTGTCTTTGTCGCACCCACTTGATTTGCGTGGGTGGGGAGGGGTGGGTGTGGTTGGTATGATTTGGACCGAATTCCTTTCCATTATGGCTCTTACATGCGTAATTTATACATGTTACAGGTATTTTGCTGAAATATGTGAATTTGTTGCCTTTTGGGTGCCTAGTTTGAGCGAAATCAGTAGGATCACAGCTCGAAATGCTTTCTACATGACTCGCTGCGGTGGTTACCATTTACTGCACCCAACAATACCTTCAATACCTCGATTTTAAGCGTTCCAATAGAGGAAAAGTGACTGTGTACTGCGGGTTGCCTAGGCTGAGTCAAACCGGCCCTGGAAGGACCCTGAAAGCCTATCCGATAATTTTTTTTACAATTTTTGCAATTTTGGTAGGTTCCGGCCGCGCTGCCTGCAGGTGTCCTCCCTGGCCAAGTGGATACCGTCACAGCGTGGCGACTTGGTGGTCGCCGGTTCAAGCCCGCCCCCCGGCGGCCGACCGTTTTGTTTCTTTCCCCTTCCGCTACCAGAATACGACAAATAAACGACGCGAATACGGCGGTGGCCGGCGGCGCCGGCCCTGCATGGGTCGCCGTTTTCTCGTCGCATTCTCGTCGTAATTTGACCAGCGGCACGACCGCCGTGCGACCCAGGTACGGCGTCAGAGGAACGAGAATACGACGAAATACCTCGATACTTCGTCGTATATTCGTAGTATGCTGGTCGTTTTCAGACTGGTGGGAAAATGACGAAAATGCGTCCAAAACACCCGAAGCAAAATAAGTGGCTTCGTTTTGGCTTCGAATCGAAGCCTCCAGGCTACTATCCGGAAAAAGCCTCAGGCTGAGAAGCGTTTCAATTCTAGCCTGGATGCTACTTTTAAAAGAAGCCGGGAGGCTTCGTTTCGTAGCCGCTTAGCTACTTTTGTGGGGTCGGCCGGCCGGGCGGCGGCGGGGTTCCAGGTAGTCGGGCTTAGCCGACC